CAGCAAACAAAAAACATTCTTGACTCTCAAATAAATTCAGATAGTAGAGGCCAACACGAAGTTCACCATTCTCAATCTCTTTCCTGGAGTGTAAGTCCTGAAGTATGCACATGTCACACATAAAGATTAAAGCCACATCATTATCTTGTGTTAACCGACTGACGAATAATAAATTACACCGAAATTGGGGCACGTGGAGGATGCGCTCAAGACTGAGTCCAGTGGGTAGCCTAACTGTCCCAACCTGCTGAACCGGGACTTGTTCACCGTTAGGGAGACGCACTGGTTGACTCCCAAAATTATGAATAGTGTCGCAAAACAAAGAAGAATCGGTGGTGATGTGCTCATTACCCAGAGTCTATCAACCACTTTGAAGGATCAAGTATTTTACCTGCCATACTCGCAGAAGGGTCCTCGGCAGGTTTTGGTTAATAAAAAAACTTCCGCAGTTGCTCCAATTGACCGATGGTGAATCTGGGACAGGACTCGCTTCTCCTTCAACCTGCGCTGCCCGTGGCGGCCCATCCTGTGTGCCACGTCGTGGCCGTCGATCCCCTCGATCAGCCCTCTCTCCACGTTCAGCTGAGCCTTGCCTGTTGCGAGGGGGATAAACAATTAGTTCATAACATGTTTCCTTGACATGATCGAGCTTACCACAGTGTGTGCATCTCGTCCGAGGTCGGGAACCAGAATCCCCCCGCAAGTCATGGGCGGATTGGTCTTGTTGGGGACGCCCAGAATTTGCACGAGAATCACGCCCATGCTGCTCCTGGTGGTTGCGACCAGAATCTCCTCGCAAAGCAAACGTGGCTGCCTCCGCTCCGGGACGCCTTCGCTGAGCTATCAATCGCTGCTTTTCATCATTGGATATTATGTTAAAAGCCTCAGCAAGGGACAGAGGAGGCCTCATAGCCAATATTTGGCCTCTAATGGCGCTGAAGCCCTCGTCCAACCCCATTAAGAAGTCAAGCAACCTAGAGCAATCCTCGCAATCGCGCGTTCGACGTTCTAGGTCGCACTTGCATTGCCCGCATGTGCACCGCTCAGGTGGGTATATGGATTGAGCCTCTTCCCAGTAGCTCTTCAGCTGTGTATAAAACGAAGATACAATGAGCTTCTCCTGTCCCAACCCAACAATGAGTTGGCGGAGTTCATATCCTCTTGGGAGAGTCCCCTGACCGAATCGCTCCTTCAAATCCAGCCAGATCTCTCTCGATGTCTTGGGGCATCGCACAGTGCTACAGACTTCTTTATTCATGGAAGTGCGTAGCCAGCCCTTCACGACCGCATCGCATCGACTCCAAGGCCCATTCTCGGGCTCATCTTTTGGCTTGGGAATCGATCCATCGACAAACCCGAACTTGTTTTTGACAATGAGAGAGTCGGTCATATCGATGACCCATTCTCCATAATTGGTGGGGGTAAGGACTTCCCCAACATGAAGCTGTCTCGTACTATCCGACGGGTGAAGGTAAAGTGCCGAGGAAGGATGCATCGGCTGTACAAGAGTATTTATACAATAAGTATTCGTAGCTAGGGTTCCATCACTACTCAAGGCCAAGGTACGTGAAGGAGCAGTCATGCAGGAGGCTGACTGGCGGGCCGACTCTTCCTCGACGTGGGCCGAGCCAGAAGTGGGCTGGAGGCTCGATGACACGACCCGGCCTAATAGGTATCCTTCGTGAATATTACACTATCATCTACATTAAGAAGGTGGGTTATTGAGGGTGCACCTCTTTTCAACTTCATTCCCTCTTAGCATTCGATATTAGTGCTGAAAACCCTTCAACAATAATAAAAAAAAAAAAACTGTATGGGGAGATTGATCCCCCATTATGAGTTCCATTTAGGAAATATAAGAATGATGATCATTGACATTAGTTGTGCAAGACACTGTTGAGACACAAAAACACCCACTGTTCCGCAAACTCCATTTTTTTCATAATTTCTTCCTGGAAGCCTCATTCCACTTGATCATACGCCTTGAAAATATTGAGTTTTGATACCATATAAGTTCCCCACCTTTTTTTCCATACTTTCGTGGCATGGAAGCATTTGATGGCTACCATGATATTATATGTAATTATCCTTCACAGTATGAAAACGCTATCGTTTTCAGAGATTACCTTGTCTAGGGTTTTTTTAGCCTGTTTGTCAGCACCTTCGATAGTATCTTGTAGAGTACTTTGCACAAACTTATAAGTAATAAATCAATGGGTGCCTCCGGTGACCTTTTCTTTGGTATGAGTACAAATAAGGGTATGGTTCAGCTTCTGTGGAAACACACCTTTCTCAAGGTATATATCCCTGTAATTCTGCCGTTACATCCCTTCATATGATCTAATTTTTTTGAAAAAATATACCGGACATACCATCAACTCCAGGAGCCTTCGTACGTAGGGTCCATCTTCTTTAAAGTTTCGCTGATTTCCTGTCTTGTAAAGGGCTTCAATAGCATCTCATTCATCAATATTGGTGTCACTAACTCTAGTATCTGCACTGCTTCTGGTACCCTGCTACATGATAATTTTGTTCCCGCCTTGTATAACTGCCTTAAGTATTGTACCACACATTGCTCAACCTCTCTAATTATTGCCTGCTTTCATCCTTCAATTGTCTTATTTTGTTTATCTTTCTTCACAATTCCCATCTCACCAGAGTCAGCATACCCATAAATCACAGCGTTGCAAGAAATCACATCCCTCTGAGTCATACCGTCGAACACTTTTGTTCGCATTGACCAAGTTCTATAGTAAATACTAGTTGGTGCCCGACCGATTGGCCGGGATACTTTTTACGTGGTTTACATATTAAATAATTTAGTCTCTTGCCTTACTAATTTAAATTTTCAATTATTGGATAATTACAAAAAGATTGTTGATACTAAAATAAGCACTCAACTATAATACAATATTTTATTATGTATCTCCTTTTATATTTTCCCGTTAATTTCTCTTCCCCCTTTAGTCTCTCCATGGTAAGCAATAAAAACAGCATTTTCGTTTTTTTACTATTAAATAAATGAAAGAAAACAGATTGTTGTGTTGTGAGTTATCAAGTAGTTGCTGAGTGTCTGTCAAAAAAAAAAAAAAAGTAGTTGCTGAGTGCTGATGTGGTAAAAATAATTATTGACATAAAGTATATGATAATTTTCAATTGAATACCAAAAATTCCATAAAATATATTTTTTTTTTGAATTTCTCTCATCTAAATAAAAAGAAAGATAATATGTAGCCCATAAAAAACTTAGAGCCCATAAAACATGTAGCTCAATATTCCAGCCCAATTGAGAGCCCAAAGGAATGAATGTTCACCTAAACACTTCTCTTTTCCTCTGTGCAAAATAGCAATCCTTGGGGTTTAAGTTTAGGCAAGAGAAAGAAAGTAGAATTAACATCAGGGAGAAAAGAAGCTTTGAGATTGCCGACAAAAATTGCAGTAGCTAAACCGCCGAGTTCGTCACGGAAAGGCAATATGGTGTTCTGCTTAAAAAATCATTGTCAGGGGGTTCACCGATGTCGGGTCCGTTTTTCGATCGAATAAGATAGAGATGCTGCCACCTTAAATCGAAAGCGCAAAAAGAAGGGAAACCCCAGGCAAAGAGAACGAGATGGCCGGACGCCGGACGGAGAGCAGAAGCAGAGAGAAATCCCGAAGAGTTCTACACCATTCTTCAGATTGATGAGTCATGCATTACTGAAATTGGATTTGAGGTATCTATTGGGTCCCTCTCTTAACTCTCTGTTGAATGGGGAAATTGGATTCATCAAGGATTAGCAGATATGGGTTGAAGATGGAGATGCAGGGGGAATGAGGTAAAATAAAAAATTGGGTGAGAATGATTTAGCGGTTGCGGAGGGGGCGTCGTGGACAACAGGGGAGTTTTGATGCTCTCTTATGTGGTTGCAATGGTGGTTCAGACGATCATGGTAAAGGAATTCCAAATCAGATTGTGTTGATCGTGTTCAAGAACTATGCTAGTGATGGTGCAGGTGGGGATTAACTTATTATGATGTGGCAGGACGGCGGATTCACCAGCAAACCGGTGATAGATCCACGACGGATAAAGGGCTGGGATTGAATGTGGAGCCGCCGGCGGCGGAGGCAGGGGAAGGGGAAAGGTTTGAGCTTTGTAGAGTTTAAGGAGCAGAGCACTTCCGGTTTGTGGTTGCACTGCCGCAAGGGGACGGCTGAGCAGCCGCGAGAGAGATCAAATAAACGAAAAAAATGTCTAAAACATCCTTAATAATTTCACTTTAGAATTTTTTTGGTTCTTTTGTATAGCCAAATAATTCAAATAATTTCACTTTGAAGAGACCCAGAGAAATAAAACGGGGTCAAAACTGATATTTTCCCTCCTACATGCCAATGACGGGTCGTCTAAATCTCGGTTCGACCATGATTGACGATTTTTTCAACGGAATTTTAGCATAAGGGCATGTTTGATAATTTTGTCAAAGTACAGGGGCATGTTTGATGTAAAAAATAGTAGAGGGGCACGTTTGATAAACCGTCATAGTAGAGGGACATATTATACTTATAACCCATTCTTTATATATTTATATTATTTTGAAGAGAATAATTATATATATATATATGACTATTAATGTACTATTAAACGTGACATTAGATTGAAGATGAAGTAAAATACACGTATCGTATAAAATAACATTCACGTGCAGTATGTTATTAACTATGCTAACACCTGACATACATTTGGATCAAACAGTTCGAGACAAAATTCGTCGCGGCATCGAGCATGGGCTTGTTAGCCCGGGTTCAGGTCTCTTTGAAGCGAGCATTCTTTGATAATTGTGGGAAAAAGTTGTGAGCTTGTAGGTCGATTCTGTGGCTCAGTTTGAAGCTGTAGCAGTACTCGAGAAAGCACAAGATGGATATGATATTAGCCTGTACTCTTTGTAGATATAATGATTGGAACTAATTAAATAGAACTTGTTCATCATGTCATTGATATTCATACACAATCATATTAATATATGATTTCACAATAATATTTATTCTCATAACTGCACAGCCATACGGCATCTACGTACATCAGGGCAGAATCGGAATTAGCTAGGTAAAACAGTGAAACAGCCGCCGGTTGGTGGCCCGTCGTCCTCCGGTGCCGCTTCCGAGTAGCTCCGCGTCGTCAACAACGACCATGCTGGCCGAAGAACTGTAACGCTGGTGATGATCCTCCGACTCCAGGAAAGCTCCGGCCGAGACGTACCGCTGATGATGACCTGAACCGCTGCTGGCACCGTTCTCCGATGTGGGTGGTCGCTCGCTGACTTGGGCGTCGTTGTCGGCGGAGAGGCATTGGTAGCGGCGGCGAGTGTTGTGCTTCTTGAGGGCTCGGTAAGCCATGGGAATGAGGCCGTCCATGGCGATCGAGTGGGGAAGCTGAACGAAAGAGAGATCGGGTGGCGATCGAGTTGAAGCAGATATTGAGATGTACGTGTCGGTGTTGCTTGCTTCGTGAGGGAAGTAATGAGGCAGTGAGTTAACTTACCTAAAGGGTCTGTATATAGTGTTACGATGATCATGAATCCATTACTATTCAGGAAACGGATTACGTTCACCGAAATGAATACGGAAAAGGGTCAATTTCAATTAGAGGTGGCAATTGGATCGGATTCGTGGATTCGTGGATTGGATTGGTGGATCAATGGATCAAATGGATTGGATCCAATGGATTGGTGGATTCATGGATTGGATCAAATGGATTGGTGGATTGATCCATGAATCCAAATGACATCCAAGGCTTGGACCAAAATGTAAAATTTGAAAAGTTTTGGTACTAAAATGTCATAATGAAAAATTTTAGGTACCAAAATGTAATTTTCCAATGATATTTTTCGTATAAAAATATAAATTTTAGGTACTAAAATGTAAAATATAAAAAATATAGGTACCAAATTGTAATTTGCCATTTGGATCCATGGATTGATCCATGAATCCACCAATCCAATTGGATTTGGATCAAATGGATTGGATTTAAATGGATTGGATTAGGTGGATAATTTGGTGGATGGATTGGATTGGATTCATGGATTTGGATCCTAATTGCCACCTCTAATTTCAATTAACTATTGTAAAAAAAAAAAAAAAAACCCTAATACTTGTAGGATAATGAATAGTGAAACCCAAACTAATAAGGATTAAAACTCTTGGATCGTGTAACTATAATATACTACATTTTAATGAGGAATTTTATAATGCTATATAGCATTGGTGCTATAGGTTTTTCTCTTTATGATACAACTTGAAGTTGTAACTTTAACATTATGGTACAACTTCATATTGTACCTATATTCTTTTGTCAAATTGTTTTATGGTACAACTTAAACTTGTACTTTCATTTGATGGTACAAGTTTAAGTTATAAAGTTGTACCATAACATAAGAGCACAAATTCCTTTATGGTACAACCTGAACTTATACATTTAATATTATGGTACAACTTTAAGTTGTATATTAAAGCACCAATACTTTATAGCATAGTAAAAGTGCTCTTTTTTAACACTCTACTACAGAGAAAGTAAAGTCTTAACACGTACAATGTGTTACAATCCCGGTACCTAGTACTTTTAAAAGCTTACAAACAAATCTCATTTGAAAGTTAATTATGACAATTTTAACCCTAATAATTGTAGTTTGTAAAGCTTATCGTTTTGTACCTGTTAAGGGAAATGATAAACGTATAAAACCGGTTTGGTTTCGGTAATCGCCACCTCTAGTATCGAGTGAAGGCCTTGGAGTGATGTCATCAACTCATATGTACCATAAGAAAAGAAAATACTGTTATTTGAGTATGTAGCACTATTAGCTTCTCGATATGTACGAGCTGGACGTACCACCCAATCTTGAGCAAGTTTCAACAATTAATCGTCCATTCTAATCAGGCGCCAATTCATGATTATTTTAAGATCGTGCATTGAATGTGCAGTTTGGACCATAATTTTTCGGTCAAGCCAACTCATCCAGAGGAGATGCATTTCGAAAGGGCCTTTCAGGATAGATAGATAGATAGATAGATGGATGGATGTGGATAAATCATTTTCTTCTCCAACAAACACTTACAACTATCAATCAAACCCATAACCGTGGGTACCCGTCCGCCCCTGATCCGGCCAGTCAATGCGGAGAATCGCCGCTCTGACGAGTATGGGTAAAATCCGCAAAACGTTTGATGGGTATGAGGATTGGGGCGGGTATGGTTTTACCCTCCCCCACTCCATACCCATACCCGCCCCATTAGGATAACTTCTTCACATATAAAAAATACATTGATTAAATTGTAACCTATCTATACTATAATAGTGAGGCTAACTCAAGAGTCAATAAAATATTTAGTAGAAATGTAATTGGGTGGCTACCCAAATCAAAACTTAATTCTTTTTCCTCAACCCTCCATTCACTCTTTCATTGTTTCGATTGTTAACAAGATTATATTAGTTAGTTATTACTTAGTATATGTATTAGAGTAAGAGTATAATGATTTGGATTACATTGCATTCTATCTTATGGATTAATGGATGCTTTAAGATAAGATGCTTTGAATCGTGTTAAGAATGATTGTCTCTTTGTCGCCTTCATGATATAGTATGTGCGTTTACTGTTATAATTGAAAATTTATATATAAAATTTTAGGTGTTATCATGTTGGATGTACGGGGCGGGTATTATTATTCATGGATACCCGAAACCCACGGGTATGGAAATGAGTTAGGAAAACCCTATCCCACATGGGTATGGGGCAGGTATGGATTTGAATATTTGAAAGCGGAAATGAGAATGGTTTAGACATACCCGTCCCATTGTCATCCCTACTTACATGGTCATTCTCATCTCATTGGTCATAGTCACTTGTAACTTCTTTTTTGGAAGTCACATATTAACACTTTGACTTCAGATTTTCTATCCAAAAAAGTTTATTATTTGTTTTGTTTGATTCTTAAGTCAATATGAAATCTCTACGGGGAAACTTACTTAAGCAATACCTTTATATTCTACTAGGACGGGCATGCTGCAAAACCATTTTGCAGCGGCAATGGAGTGCGTAAATCAGTATGTTTGTTTGCCCGCATTTTGCTTGATGGACCTTGACATAAATAACAAAATAGCTGGATATTGTGCTAATCATACAGTAGGTTAACACTATACCAATATGAATAGTAATAATTTGTATTGGAATTGTAATCATACAACTGAAAAACACAACGATTACAATTGCAAAAATAATAACTCCCACTATAAATGCGTCGAAATAATAGTGCTACACGAACAAAAATAATTACTACAACTATGATTGTAATACTTATAAAACATATAATTGACATGATGCTACATGATTTATGGTCATGGTTAGGAATCCCAAAATAGCTTAAATTGGTTGGATTGAACTCGAAGAAAATTCTTTAATATTTTCTATAACATGACAAATGCATTGTATGTCAAATTGCTTATAATCACATCAGCCTTCCTCGAATCCATCTAATCAAATAATTATAAGTTTATATGCTTTAAGAATGTATGCTGGATAGGAAGACAATTATATCCAAGTGGCAACTGTATCCATGGAAACATTAATTTAGCTACTTATAGCTAAACGAACATCAGCCGCAACCATAGAAACTAACCGTCCTCAAACAATTATATATGAGAAGAAGTTGTAGTTTATACCATCCAACCCGTGTCTGATTAGAGCTATATTCAAATATCTTACTGCTTTAGAAATATCTTAATTAATCAAAGCTCTGTAAGATCAAGTTTGTAATGAAATTGGAATAATCTCATTGTCTTCGTGTGAGACCACCAATCGTACCCCAAAGGAAGAAGAAGAAGAAAAAGGAGAATAAGTGAATAACAAAGAAAGAAAATAAAATAAAAGTCATGGCAGTTGGCAGAGGCGCTAAAGGCTATGAGGATTGAGGAGGCAGGCAGGAGGGGCATAGGGAGAGCGCTGACGGCAATAAATCCCAATAGCGTTCCCTGAGTCCAAAAAATCAAGCCCAACGAAGATGAATTATAAGCCCAATAAAACAGGCCCAACCAATCATATTAAGATTAGGCAACAGTAACCAGTATTTAACTTTATATATATATTAACTTTGCTTCGTGCTCAATGTGTTTTTATACTCAATCTTTCTTTTACAATTTTGACCCATTTATATTTTGTTTTTATTTTATTTCCTCTTATATGATTATTGCTTTTTACTATGTTTGGATTTTAAGCTAAAGGGGAAAAGCAGATACCGAGTATAACAATATATACGACTTTAGCAAGTCAAATCACAAAAAAATGAATGAAAAGATCTTTGCAGGCCTGACAATAAAAGGGTTTTACTTTCACAATATGTGAAGCCCTATATTACCTTTTCGGAAGTAATTAAGCATAACTCGTGACTTAACTTCTATCCTTTGTAGGGAGAAACTCATGAATCCAACCATTGAAACTAAAAACAGAGCAGCGAACTCCTACAAAAATAACAAACAACATAGAGCCTCAAACAAAAGGATACACTTTACCAATACCGTGCACACAAGACCCAAACAAAATATGGAGAAGTGTTTTCTGTTTGACCCTGGGTTTTGTTAAATTGTTTTCTGAGAACACTAACAGTATTCAAAAAGTGAAAAGAAAGAAACTTAAAGGAATACTAGCTTATTACCCGGCCCCTTGGCCGGACGTAGTATCAGAAAGTGGTAATCTAATTCTGACTATATTACCCATTAGCATGTCTGCGATGATGGACAGAGGTAGATGGGAAGTTATTATCCCATTCCCGATAATGGACTATCCAAATGAAGTCATCAGCCCTAAATCTAGCCACACTACAAGCACCGTAATGCCTCTACAGTGAACATGAAAAAATCAAAGGAATGCTTACCTGGCTCCAATTCCCGATGGTGAAAATGGAAGCCACCAAGAGATATCATAAAGAAAACCCAATTTAGATTGTCATTGGACCAAAAACTACAGTGACACCAAATGTGACGAATCCCTCGCTGAGAAAATTAAAACCAACAATGTCCAAATCAAGTCGATGAAATAAACAAGCCAGTTTTTTATGATAAATAGTTTTGTTAATTAAAATGAAAGAAAGGGAAAAGAAATACAAAACATGCAATCTGCTGTAGAAATCTCATATACAAACAAAAGAAAAAGGCGGGCCACATATGCCTAGTAACACCAACAAAGGACAACTTTTGTCAATACCCCTACCACTAAGAAATCCTACCAAATTACTTCCAATCACTCTACTACACTAAACACATAAATGACTTACAACTCCCACTTTCTATCTCTTCAATATGTATATGTCAATTGTCATGTAACCTCTCTATTATCACGATTTTTATACTTCTCGACTACAAACATGCTAATTGGTCCTTTCATACTCCTTCATGGTAGCTACACGATGATTCGGGTCCAATTGTATACATTTCCCCCCTCATTTCTTGATAGTTTGACTTTGCATTTCATCGTTCCTC